GAGGCTATAGAGACGTGAGATACAAGGAAGAAGAATTGTTTCTCGGGGCAGGTCGGGCTGTTTGTCCGAAATATCGAACTCTGTAGGTGAGACTTGGACACCTCCACAACCCCGGAGAGGTCAGAAGCGGCTTTCTGATGACTCTACAAGGCCTCATACGAGGTCTGTGAAAAGGAGTTTGTCCTCAGACATGCGCAAAAGTAGTTAGAACATCTCCATATGTACGATGTACCGTACATAAGTCATTTTGGGGGCACTAAAATGGTCTTGAAATAGTAGTTTTCCAAGGCTCATAAAAGAATATTGTAGTGGTCCATGCTCGCTAAAACTTCGCGCATGTAGCGTTTATGCCATTATCAGTCCGCTTGTGTGGTCGATTGGTCCCATAGAACTCCCAGAGATGTACTCTCGACCGTTAAAGTTAATTTACGGTGTACCGTTATCGTATGCTCAGACATCGCTTGCGGTTTCTGGTTGGAGCGTGTGGGGTCTGTCGCTTGGGCTTTCAATACGACAGGGAAGAGGGAAGGGCGGTTGGAACAGATGACTCAGCACAGGTGCTGGGCGTTGCTGCCGCTATCTTTCTTTACTCGCTACCTCCGCTTAAGAAGCCTCCGCGCATTCCTATTCGCGTTCTATTCGCCCATCGCTCCGCAATTCGGCTGAGCCGATATGGGGTCTAACCTTTTTCGCATTCTCTCTGCCCCTGCAGGCCCTGCCGCCTTTCCTTCGCCTGCGCCCTTGTGCAATGGCCTTCTCAACCATTCGTCATGGTCATGCTTGGCCCATCGCCGCTTACTCGCCTTTGCATATCCGACTTCCCTCGCCTTCGCATCTCCGCTTTCCCTCGCTTTCGCATATCCGCGGTGACTGTCGCTGACATCCGCATGGCAAAATCGGTATTGTCAAAAAGACCTTGATATGATCGCTGTTGTTGTTTTCATGCATTTGCTACTGTATTTTGCCCGATGCATTCCACAACCGTACATGAACATTCAACACTAGTGTCTAGCCGACAATCAAAAATCCTCAATTGAGCACACGTGCTTTCCTCATTTGAGCCGCATGTATCTGACTCCCTTTACGAGCGATGGGAAGACCCTCCCACTAAACGCAACACACACTCGTGATCCGTATGGTATCGCAGTTAATACCAGAGCGATAAATGGCAGCATCTAGTGCTCTAATTCAATATGTACAGCAAAACAGTCCCTGACTGAGCAGCGGTTGCTGCAGAAGTAACGCTCAAAATTGCCTTGTTCCAGGCATACACTACAAACTTCTATAGACTTATGCCTCTTGCAAGACCCACATCTTCCTTGAAATGCGTAGTTGCTGTATTTGCCATTGATTTTGCGACGCTTAAAGGTCCTAACCAGGCATGGGCTCCGCATAGGTGATTTTGTAGAGTTTGATTGTTCCCCAGACCAGGAACTTGGGCTACCATTGCGCACTGTGGCGGCGTTGTCGTATTTGTTGTCGATTAAAGCCTCTGAAAGAGCCTCATAGAAGTCACCTTGTAAAAAGCTGCACTGTTCCGCATGCGAAGATTTGTAAAGCTTCCACGCGTCCACGATACAGAACCCCAGAATTCCAATATTGAGTCTCTTGTCCCATTTCTGAACGCGAATCATTCGTTCGAGCTCAAGGTCATCCTGACGGCACCTGTTGTGCTGATCAATACTTGCACAAGTATCGTAGTAACGTTCCACGACTTTTGGCTGTCGTAGGGAAAGATGCACTCTGCGTGGACCAGTGCTGGTCTGACGCCACCGCACTCGATCGCATGGACTTCCATCGGTGCTGTTGCTGGCAGTCGCGATAAAGTATCGTCTATTCCGGTCCACCCATGCCAGTGCCATTAAAGATTTTCCTGTGTCATGTATGTCGCATCGTAGAGTAGTCTGCTGTCCCCTTCCCTCTATTTCCACCTGACTTAGATACTTCATGGGAAAGGCCCGTGTGGCAGTCTTGACCACGCCTATAAAACGCAATCCAAGCTGTAGAAGCTGTTCTGCTGACTGCACTGATGCGAAGTAGGAGTCAGCACATACCACACGGTCTGAGTATATCCAGGGGTTGACGAGGCGTTTTAGGACAGCTGTCCCATGGTTACAGCTGCCCTCGAACGCTTTTCCTGTTTCGTCCGTCGCACCAGTAACTATTTCTATTCGTAGCATAATGCCGCTCTCCCCACATGCCAGGTTCTGAACTTCACAACCATCTTCAGGCTTGCGCTCGATACTTACGAAGTGGGGCAGGCCAATTTCGATCCAATCGCCACCCAAGCCGTACCATCGTATCATAGACTCATCCACACAAAGGTAATCGGATGGTTGTACATACCTGTACCGGTGGTCGTTAAAAGCCCTGACAAAGTCGTTGACAAGAGCCCAGCGATGTTGCGCAGACGTCCACCCTGCCTCTGATGGCTGGGCGCTAAATGTCAGTGAGCCGAACAGGGCCTCGAAGCGGCTGCGCCCCATTACCTTCGAGAGGTAAGGACGAACAAAGTACTTGGAGGCCGATTTTGCTTCCCACAATCTCCGACGATCTCCTTTAGCATATCGAGATATTAAAATTAAAATTCCAAAAAATCGTAGAATCTCACCCGCCGATGTGCCTCTCTGATGCTTTGAAAGCAGTGCACTCTTTGTCAGCTGCACTATGCGCCCCAGAAAGCGCATTGGAAACATCGAATAGAAATAATATTCTATTCCTCTCCCTGCTGGTGCTCCTCTTTCGCGTATGTCGGAACCATCAAAACCGATCACCTTCCAATGCTTTACGGGGACAGGGCCGTTGATGTCTGAAAGTACTGCAGCCTTGCGCCATACTTTGCCATGGACCTCAACGGTGCCCTCATCAGAGAGACTGTAATTGGGCTCCGTTGGTACTGTACTGGGAGCAGCGGGGGCGACAGTTTGGTGAGGCGTTGACGAGGACAGGACAGCCGTAGCCTCAAACTCGGAAATCAAGTTGCGCTCAGTATCACTGTCATGGGGGGGCTGTTAGACATTTGGTGAACGTACTTGTGCAAAAGGATCTTCTTCGTCGTCGGGGGGAGGGGTTCGAGCGGTCTGAATCGGTGATGACGGTACAGGCTCACGCCTAATAAAGTCTGGCGTTTCGTCCGGTTGCGTGGGAATCGGGCAGGGACCAGTATTAACAAACCGCAGCTGAAGAGCTCTTCTTATTTTCTTTGATCCTACCGCCCATGCTCCCTCAATAAACGTGACGCAATTCTTCTTGCCCTGCTCTTGTCGAGTGTTTTCAACAACACCTGCAACTGTCCTTGTATTCCATAGGGAACCGTATCGACGCTGACACTCAGCGTTGCTGGTCACGTAGCGGGCTTTCGTGTGCACTTCAGCACCAACAATGAGGCGAGAGTCCTTCCCCATTTTAAATGAACGGCGCTGATCCACGGAACAAATTGATGGGAGTGGTAAGAATGGAAGGGTCTGGGAAACAGGTGGGTTTCAATATTCTCGAGACTTCTTCAGTGGAATGGTTGCACAAAAAGGCGGGGTACTGACCCATACGGTCTCTGGTTTGTGTGGTGTTTCGGTATTGCTACAGTCTTAGCGCCAAAACTGTGTATTAATTCATGCAGTTTTCCTCAATTGAGGAAAATTGTCGGCTAGACACTAGGGGTATGTCCTATTGTTTTTGCCACCACTGTACTTGCTTCTACAGTATCAGTGTGTTAAGAAACGCGCCGTAATGTTCCAGAAATGAGGTTCGCCGTCCCGTGGACCACCCCCCGTTTCATTTATCAAGGAATTGCTTCTAGGAGGTCCCTTCTATCAAGGGATCACTGTATTTTGCTCCAAAAGAAAGGCCGAAGCTTGCATTTCAGGTACAGGGGGTGGGGGGGGGGGCCCGATATAGTGCTACCCTGTGTCAGTGGGCCGAAAACGGCACTATATCGAACCAGGCACTGTAAGATAATGAAATTTACGGCTTTTTTTCAGCCACTTCCTTGCATCACTGCTCAGAAAGACCGCTCGCAGGACGCCATCACTCATACTTTGCATCTTCACTACGGACTCAAGTCTAATCAAGCATTTCTGTTATTAGTAGCTGCCGAGCCGTTGCATTGACTTCCTCCTTTTTCGCAGCCATAAATGCCAGCCTACACTTTGTCCAATTGCATCATCGACCCTGCCTTTTTCGCCATAGTCTCTATTCGAGTTGGCATCTGCATAATATATTTTTCCGCGGCGGCAGTGGCTCTCGGGTAGTACGTCCATCCAACTGGCTTCTCTGGAGACCCTTCGTTTTTGGCTCACAATTCGTGCCACCCGCAGAAGAGTAGCACTATATCGGAGCTGGCACTAACAAATATGGCACTATATCGCGACCCCCCCTCCCCCCCCCCGCCCTGTACAGTTGTATATTCCCCTGAGACGTCAGCAGGATATGCACCTGTAAACACCGAAGAGCTTAGGTGTTTCCACAAAGTCATGATGTTTTATTTCATTGGATATTCATTCGATTGTCTTTTCGACGTGCTATCAGAATGTCTACGCAGACTCAGCAGCTCTCAAATGTCGCGAAATATGTTACGAACCCAAATTCTTTTCGCTTTTCTTCCAGCCTCGAGATGAGACAATCGTTGAATTGCAACGAGAATGTTTGCTTGTCTCAGGCAAGGTGAAATTGTTCATAGGACTTACTTATTTCCTTGCTCAACTAGAGCGTTGTGCGAATGGCCTGCGAGGAGTTTTTGTAGGTTAGCGGTTTATTCAGTTCGTCAAAACATAAAATAGTGCGGCTTCGGGGGTTGAATGGTTGTTGCTCCTTACTTTCTTACCCCAAGCGCCGATTGCAGTTATGATTCTCAAAATGTCTTCAGTTACCGGGCATAGCAAAGGAGAGAACACAATAAAAATCCCTTCTTCCTTAGTTGCTCGCTGTAGATGATTAAAGGAGGAGTTTGTACAAGTTGTCGAGGTGAGCTTGGACAATTGCGAGAGCAAGTGATGTTGCTGAAGTTAAATCGGTTGGTGTGGGAATGGGGCGATGATGTCTTCATGTTCCGGCTCGCTGCCTGCATCTTCATCATCAGAGTCGAAGAAGCCGTCATCCTCCGAGTCGATAAAATCCGGGTCGTCATTGGCGCCGCTCGCGGAAGCATCGGAGTCGGAAGAATTCCCGTTGATGTTTATCTGACGGCCGTTGGACGGAACGGCTTCACTGGTATCTCGCAATGATAGGGGTATTGCAGCTCTGTCCCGAAAGCAGAGCACATTCGGGACCGCTTTGCCAGTTGAATCTGCGCAGCGGGCGGCGTGTCTGACCCAAGGCCAAAGAACTTCGCGAAAGACTGTGACAGGTAGAGCACCCAAATGGCCATTCTTGTCTTGCAAAATTCCTGATAGGACCGCCCTTTCGACAGCAGCGGGTTTCCATATAGTGACGACAGGTCTCGGTCCTCCTAGGGCAATGGCAGTACATAAAACATGGCCCCCGGGGGTGACACCCTCGCCAGTGCCGTCTGTGTGGAGTGCAAGTCCAAATGGGGCGAGGAGGAGGCGGAGTTCGCGTAGAGAAAAGCCTGGGAAACAGACGAGGCGGAGTGTCATAATGGAGCAGGAGTGGGCGCCATCGTACTGGAAGAAATTGAGCAATGCTCGGCGAGCGCCGCCGGGGGGCATGTATCCATTTGCGCCGTCATTCGGGCGGAGAAGGGCGGTGGCGCAGGTGAGGGTCATGGCGGCGTTAATGAGGGAGGGGTGAGGGGGTGGAACGCAGGTGGTGAGAGGGAGGATGGTTGCATTGAGGAGGCCGATTTGTCGACGTGGAGGAGGCGTTTTTATTCAGAATTTTGCGTCGTCCCGAGACAGTGGGTGGTCATAAATTTCTGGAGAGCATTACGTGACGGCTGGTCGGGCGAGTGCAAGTTTACGTATTTTTATTGGTGTGCGCATGGGCGTGTCCTTTGTGGAGAATGGCAAGGCGTATTGACAACATTACATACAGCTTTGTTCAAGCAAACGAAGGCTAGAGCGACACCACTCTAGTAAGTCTCACCCTAGTAAGTCGCACGCTCTTAGCAGCAAGCGCATTGTGTCCGGTATGTGCGTATGCACTTTTGTCACATGTACTGTACTTCAGAGATCATACGGTAGAATAGAAGTGTTCAACATGACGTCGACTTGCAACGATACATGTAACCCGAAGAGCTTTGCTGGTCTGCAACAGTGGGCACAGGTCATGATCTGCGCCCCGTCCCCCTATATACGTCTCTTCTGGAAAGCTGGAGGTGATCTTGCAAACAGAGCATTTAACGACCGACGCATTGGCCTAAAAGCACATGCGAGACAGGTGTGAGCATGCGACATGCACTCAAGGCAACTTGATTTGTGTTATATCAGATTTTCTTCCCGCCAAAATTTTGTTTTTCAGTTAAAATATTGAATTCTTGGCACCGATAATTTCTTCCCACTCTTCACACCCATTGCAAACAGGTTCGGTGTACCATACGCATATGTACTACGCATTCGTATCGCGTGTACACGTCACCAGGGCGGGACAGCATCAGTACAGTACCCTTAGGGTACCCTTCGGTACAACGGGCGTGGTGCTGCGCATGACTGCACGTAACTCTCAAATACCAACGTTGGGGCGGTACCCAAGGGTACTGTACAGAATATGTGGTTCCTGAGGCGGCATCCTCACACAATGCGTTCCCATCTTCGCCTTGCCTGCGGTTCATAAAAGCACGCCGCAGTGCGGTGCAGGACAGTACAGTAGATACTTTTTGCGAAAACTGCTGTGCAGTGGGTCATTGCTGAGCTAACTCTCGGGGTCTGTCGGGCACCTTAAACCAGCGAAGGCTCTCACGGCGGCTCCCACAAGGATTTTTTCATGGCCTGTTGATACGTAAAAGAGGTAAGCATCGAAACTCACGCTTGCTGTTGCCCCTGAGAATAATACCTCAAAAACGTCCCACTCGAAACACTGCACCATTGAAAACTTTGAAGTTGCCTTCGGAAACGAAACAAATGAACACATTTAGCAGTAAGAACAGAGTGGTAGGAAAGCGAGCCTGATTTGCGCGCCGGGGAGAATCATTAGGAATTGAGCGAATATAAAATGGATATTAATGTATCTCGTTCTTTCGTGAACGACATGACGAAGGAGAGTTCTCTAAGCTCTCTCTGTTTCAGCGTTGCGCTGACGCTTTGGCGTATTTTTTCTTGATGTTTGACCACGACAAGATTCATCGCCACATAACAAGCGTATATCTCACTGTAGTCCTTCGCAAAGGCTGGTAGATGTCCCCCATGTGCGGCAAGTGATGTGCAGAGCGCGATATTCTCTCACATCCTTCTTGCGGACTTGACGGACATCCCGACTGAGGGTGAAAAATTACATTCTGCCAGACGTATTTGATCCACGTAGTTTTCAGATACAGCCTATTGATAATAGCCAAGTGGAATGCAATCAGTGTACCAGCTCCCCGGTGCCAGCAGTGTTGGAAATCACTTCTCGAGTGAATATTTGGGTAAGGCCCCGTGACTGCTTCCTTCAACCGACCTGATTCTCCGCTCCTCTCATGCGGCTGCGACATCATTCACGTGTCCTCCGTCCTTCCCCCGACAGTCTCCAGCAACATTCAGTCTTTTCCTGCACACTCTCCATCTTGCCCTCCCTTCTGCCCATCAACATTGCGCGATGGCGGAAGCCTCTGCTTCGACGGCGTCCGCCGCCTCGCCGCCGCCTCGCCAGTCAAAGCGATCCGTCCAAGCGGCCCCACCTGGAAACACGGGCACGCATTGGACGGGCCCTAACGAATATCTCCTCGCTCAGCTAACCCGTGCAAACTATATCACCTCCCGCGGCACCCCCTTCGAGGCCACCCCAGATAATCTTTGCGCTGCGCTGCAACGGCTCGTCCACTTCGAGGGCAACCGACCCCCTAACCGCAAGATTTTGCTCCACCTCCGTCTTCTTACTTACTACCCTCCAAATCCTATCGTTATTTCCGAACTAATTACCTTAATTGAGTCAGAAAACGTGCACGTATGTCGCCTCGCCCATTACCACATCAGGCAGAATGCACCCGTTCAGGATGCAGAGCTTTATCGAGACCTCATGGAGGCTCTTGAGAGGGAGGTGATTCGACCATCGCCTGCACGAAGGGCTGCTGCGACAAAGACCCTTGCCAAAGTCTTTATGAATAATGATATCGCACGAGCCTCGGACTTCGTCATGGACGTCTTTAACTGCATTGGAGGCGCACGCGTCAAGGTCCCGGACCAGCCTGCCCCGAGGAAAATTGCTGGCATCGAAGTTCCGGGAACCGATAAGAACAAGAAGAAGAATCAAAAGCGTGCAGCGGGACGGATTACCACACCTGGTGTTAACACTTCCTTCTTGTCGCGGAGTATTGTCAAGGGTGAGACCTACGACTCAAAACCTACACCAGGGCAACAAGAAGCGAAGGAAAGACGCAGGCAAGCGATGGACGATGGCACAGGAGGTACAATGCAGAGTGCGCGCGGAAATGCAGAGTTTATCAAGAGCAAGTTTGGAAAGATGCTTGTTGGACACACAGTCATGGCTGCAATGCGCAGACTCAATCGTGTTGCAACGGAAAGGGCTAAAGTTGAGGCTTACTTGTTTGACTCGGGACTAATGAGTGTAGTTCCAAGCACCGTCCGACATTCAGTTGCGTTGCTAGAGCTGCGAAGTATAGTTTCACGTGGATCTGTGTCGCGATATCTTGTCGGACGGCTGCCCCACAAAAACCCCCCAGCTTCAAAGCGTCTTCACTTGGAAGATTTGGGCGCGCGTGTTTACTTTGCAAGGCTTTTGTCCTCCCTGGCGGAAGATCCGAATATGTCTGCCTTCATACCTGAAGAAGCACCCAAGCAGGCAAAACGAGACGCCCACTCAAAGACACCCAAGAGCATGAAGGATGCACTGGAAGCATCAACCTTCAAGGAAAAGGCCAGCAATTTGTTCAAGTTTTTGTTCAACAAAGAGCAAATTTCGCAGGCAGTGGGTGCCGTGAGGTCTAATGCGGTGGACGTGATCACCGGAAGCCGCATGCATCGTTTAAAGAGGGACGATTCGTTGGGAGTGGAGTTTGCTGAGGCTCTCATCAATCTATTGAAAAACCCTTCGAATCGAGTCTTGACCGAAGCTCTACGGGGACTGTCCAGAAGGCGATGGACGACGTGGTTTGAATCTCCTATACCTCAAGGGGCGCTTTACAATTCTCCAGAACTACAGGACGCTGAAGCATATGGAGGCACTGCTGATGCGTGGGGCATTGACGAGGACGAGGATGATGACCCTGAAGATGAGGACGACGGAAAGGAGTTGGGTGCATACGAGAACGACGTCGTTGGTGATGACCTGCATGGTTCTAAAGGATCACTTCGAGCATCAGGATTAGCTCAAGACGAAGCGCTCGATGACCTTACCCGGGCGAACGAGGGTAGCACCTGGTTTTCGAGGCTCAAGTCACAGCGAAAAGAAAGGAGGGATGTTCGTATAAATGAACATACACCTTTTTACCTTCGCAAAGTTGGGGAGGGCATGGTCCCAGCTCTAGAAGTGATTCTCCGAAGGATAAATGCCGCCCTACTTCACGACGAGCCAGTGCGTCGTTTCTGTGCTGCTGATGCAATTATTGTTCTTGCTCGAGGCAAGATCTATGGCCATACCAGCGAAGAGCATCAAAAATTGCGGAAGGCTCAGAGCGCCTTCCAGCGAAGTGTTCAATTATCTTCCTCTCGCGCTCTTGTTTCTGTACAAGACGCAGGTTATCTGGGCCTGACTGATGGGTCTGCAGTCGCAGAGGAAAGGCATCCGTTCCAAGCATTGGTTTGGCCTTTAACAGAGATTGTTGAGGAAGACCCCAACCAATTTGTACGGGGAAGAGCTGCTGTTGCTCTTTTATTTGTAATCACTGCTGGTGCTGGGCGCGGTAGTGGTGGTGGTATCGATGGTGATATTTCGGTAACGTCAACTTCAAAGAGTGCCAAGTCCGATAACAGCCCATTGTTGGTTCGATACTTTAAGAGCTTTGCTACTCATGAGTGTACAGGAAGCGGAACCGGATTGAAGCTTATGTCCGAATTGATTGACTATTTGGTTTATGAGGTACTTGATGTAGCTCCAGAGCTTGCCCCCTCAGCCGTGGAGATGGCGGAGCTGTGGGCGATGTCTCATCCAACCGTAGGAGTGTGTGGTAGGCTTGGAGCACTCTGGGAAAAAGTTTTGTCGATCGGGCAAGGCGAAGTGGTTGGGAAGTCTATCTTTAGGGCAGTTGCATGTACGCCGCAGCAAGAAAGGATGGCATCTGCTGCAGTCATATTTCTCCGTCGACGAACCTTAGACTTGGCAATTATTAGCGTCGGTTCGGCAAATGTTACGGGAACTGCTTTACCAGAGCCCCTACCTCAGGAAGTTGGTGTTGAGATGGAGCGATACTTTAGCTTGCTTTGGCATGCTGCGCTGCTTGGACCATCCGCCGAATGCCGCACGTTCGCAATAGAAGCGCTTGGTGGTGCAGCGGCGCTGGCCGGCGAACCTTTTCGCTGTTGTACATACGAACGGCTGGTAGAAGTAGTACGTATGAGGGGGTTTGGTCTGAAGATTCCAGCGGAACAAGTCCTGAATTGTCTTGACATGCTATACTTTTCGCGAGAGCGCTTTTCAGAGGCACGGGCAAAGAACAGAATTGCTCGCGATGGTAGCACTAGGTCCAAATCGTGGCTTGAGTTAGTATGGAGGCTAGCAGCAGAATCTTCGTCTGCCGCGCAGATATTGTTAGGAGTGCCACCACCAACAGGGTGGCAAGCCCTGGGTCCAAGTGCCGCTGCTGATTTGGCCAATGCAGAAGAACGCTTCGGTGATGTACGCGACCGCCAAGATGATTCAAAATTGAAAGATACCACTATCGCCCTGAACAGCGCACCCGCAGGTGCGCCTCTACTCGCCATCGAACCAGCTCAGAATGAGCGCACCAGAAAGATTGGGAGTGGAGGACTCGGCGAGGTCCCTCCAAGTGCCACTCAAATCCCGTACTCCCATCCACGAATCGAAAGGACAAGTAGCCGTTCACGGTCGCGTTCGCGTTCGCGCTCTCGATCACGTGAACGTCGTACAATAGAGGACTATGGTGATTCTAGACGACGGTCTTCGTGGCGAGACTACGATGATGCGGATCAGAATTACGAGAGAGGGCAAAATCGTATATCGGATGATTCTCATACCACCAGGCGACGCAGTCGGAGCACTTCCCCAGGGTACATACATTCACATCGGTCCAGAAGCAGTTTAAAACATGACGACGCACACGTGAATGAGGAGGCCAGTCGTCGATCAGACTTGGGCGCCATTCACAATGAAGATATAAGTTTGTCCTCACGAAAGAGACAAGAAGAAACTGATTATGAAATGGCTCTCAGACTGCAAGAACAGGATACCAAGCCTTCCAGGGTGGTGCTTGGTGGCGGAAGTTCACACCAAGGCACAGGCGATAGCCGTTTTAGTGGGGCTACCGATGCTGCTGGGAGGCTGTTATCCAAGGGGCTGCGCAGCGGAAAGAACCTTTCTGAAAAGGCGAGGAAGGCAGCTGTGAAGAGTGGAGCGATGGAGAAGTTGGGACTTGGGAGTGGTTCATCTAGGTGAGATATTCCGGGAACGATTACCTAGTAGAGCGTCAAGGGTCTGAATGGAGCATCAGAGGAGGAAGAGGTATACCAGCCCTGCGTAGTCCACAACGAAGCGTGTAGGCTGTGAACGCCACAGGTTGATAAGCGTCTTGCGCACGTCTGTACAGTGTTGTGTATAACAGGTTGCTGCAGTACCGCCGCAATGTTGCCGGCAATAGGAGCGCTTTTGAAGGAAGTTATATGAATTCTCAAAAATCTGGGAATCGGTCAGCAAAGCTGCGAGTTCTTCGAAGGATGTTCATTTCAATGCTCAACATGGTAAGCGAGCCAGGTATGGAGCTGACCATCTGAACCCAATCGATAGAGAGTTCACAGCATTCTCTCCAACCGCGGAGGAATAAGAAAATGATCCACTTTTACACTACATGATGCAATAGGGAACCCAGTTTCTGAAGAGACGCGTCTTCTTCCTATCGATATTTCAGAAGGCGAAGGTCCACAGAGCGATCTGCAGCGTACGAGCCGGTTTTGCACGAGATGCCTAATGCAAAACTGTCTCAAGCGACTTCATTTCGGGTCCTCGTCATCACATTAAATTCTCATACTTCTTCCTGATTTCTCGTTCCGTATTACTTCCCATTTTTGCTTTTTCGGTCATTGCCAATATTGGACTCAACAAAGGTTTCCTTGTCGTCATTCTCTGCGCAACTGCTTACGTGGACTAGAGTTCTGGTAGAACCAGGGCCGCTGATCAAGTCCTCAAGCAATTCGGAGAGGGAGTGAACCTGAGTATCAGAGAGAAGCTGTCGCTCGCACAACCTTCGGATTTCATCTCTGTATGCTTCCAGCGAGTGAGCCGGGAGAATATGACACAACGTCTCAACGGCAAGATCAAGACACTTCCCGCTGTGGAGGAGCTGAAGAACTCCAGGGATGAACTCTTCGTGAGTCCCAGCTATTTTTGGGAACCCAGTGGCCAGATTTAAGCATATCTCGGCAACAGATTCCAGAACATCGACCATGTGCTGAAGGAAGAGCAATCTGGATATGTCTTTCAGGAATCTCCGCACAAGCATATCAGGCAGTCCCCATTCCGGAGAGCAAGTAGAAAGTATCGAAAGCACTTTTCCGGAGATGCTGAAATCTGGGGCAGGATGAGAGACTCCTTTGGATAGATTTTCAAAATCAGTGCTGGTTGCGTTGAGTGAAGTCGACGTTTCAAGTATGCGAAGAAGTCCTTCGGTTAGAATTTGGAGTGTCTTTCCATGATTTTTTGCGGACAAGAAAGAAGAACCGAGCCAAACAGTCTCTAGGGTACACGTCAAAAATGCATGGTACAGGTTTTCGCATCTCAACATCTGAGCAAGAAGCTTTAAGACGTCTCTGCGAAGAAACATGCGCCCCTTGTTCGCCGAATTCTTTGCCAGTTCAGATAAAACTTTCAGCGCACAATACGCCTGAGCGATAGTTTGTCTAGTACGGTCATCGTGACTTGGGGAGAATGGAAGTGAATCAATGTTGTTGCTTGGGGAAGCGATTAATTCACAACATTGGGAATCCTCGAGGAAGTCCTCCAATATCTTCAAGAGCCCCTCCAGAAGACCTTCCGCCGAGTCATTCGATGCCAAAACCACCCCATCCCCTGTACTAACAGCAACAGCAAGGAGATTAAAGAGAAATCCCTGCGTCTTTCGAACCGATTTGGCATCAGCAGAGAAGCCAAGTATGGTCTGTGCTAAGCACATGTCATGAGCAGTATTGTTTGCCGTAGGCTCATTGTTTGTTTCACCGGAAACATCGAAGCACTCTGCCACTGCAACAAGCACTGCTTCATTGCTTCCTTGTACTATAATGGGGTTTTAAAAACCACAGAGACATATGCACCGAGTGGAGGCGTCAGTATTCTATATGTATTCAAAAAGATCACTTCAGATCCTGAACTAAGTATCTCAGAAGCTGCTCAACTGCACGTGTGGCAACGTTGAAAATTAAACGAGATTGAGATATCTTACTGTTGGCGAGCTCCATGGTTTGGGTCTCTGCAATGATAGCAAAGAAGTTGTGCTCCTGATATATACTATTCGCCCAGCATGGCAATGTGAAAGGATCTTGCGGGTCACCTTCAAGTGCCAGCCTAGCAAGTCTGTCACTGTTTGACAGGCCCTCACTCTGCCCCTTGAAAAATATGATTAAGTCATTGTTAATCCTACTCTCAGATAGATGATGGTGTCGAATTGACCTGCAACCTTTGCTTCTCGACCTCACTTGCATACATGCTCTAGTTTTTCTCTCTTTCACTTTTTCTTCGAAGACCCTCTCTTTCATATTGACGGCTTTGCTGGGGTTCTCTGGCCACTTTCCAAACACAATTCGCTGCTCGTAGTGGAAGAGTAATCGCTCATAGGCCCCTTTCAGAACAGATGCGGCGCTTGTGCATGTCTTCGGAATTCCCAGCTGTTGAGCCACAATCCGAAATGCTCGCTTCCTGACAACATTTTGAACACCACCAAGAAGCATGACTTCTCTTGCTAGTAGGAAAAGATCCAAGTCCCCGCCTCCAATAACTGGAACCTTAAACGGTCCGTTTCCGATTTCTTTCAAAAACATCCTGAGGTCCTCGGCGAACAATTTACGGCATTCCGGTTCATTTCTTGTCCCAGTGCGATCGCAGTTATCCCTGGAGGCCAGTTTAAATCCTAGATTGTATGCACCTATTGAGAATGGATGATCATCCGAGAGCCGACCTCTGATTACTGTGTGACGTCCCGCCTTTTGCAGAGGATTCTTCAGAATCGGCAACGATGCAATGTCGACTTTATCATCATGAACAACCTCTCGAGAGTGGGTAACTTGCCTCTGACTCTGAACCTCGCCAAGACTTGCTTCATGATGGTCAGAAACGTTATCCGAATGTTCGAGTGAGGTGTGATGAGAGCCATCGGTTCCGAAGTGCAATGTCTTCTGAGTGATCGGTACGCTTCTGAGACCGTCTTCTGATGCAGACTTCGTATCGAGAGAAGCTTCAGAACTGACAAGAAGGTCTTCCTGACAAAAAATGTTGTTATCTGTATGCCTCGCTGTGAAGTGAATGTCCATTTCAGTAGCTTGGTGATTGGGTCTTTCGAGCAGATGACCAGTGAGCGGATCAGAAATAGACGGCTTTGAGTGATATGTATTTTGTTCGGATCCGTTGTGCTTTTTCAGTGTTTCAGCTTCTTCTTCTCTTGAGGAACTGCTCAGAACACCAGAATACAATGCGGCTGGGGAAAGCTGTCGAACAACTCTTTGCCGATGTTTTGGAGACAACAAAATAAGTTCTTCCTCATTTGGCATATTAGTGTGTAGTCGGACTGAAGTACCGGATTCATCTGAGATATCTAGAGCCGAATCGTACCTCCATTTCTCGCAAATACCCTTCCTTCCATTAATATGACTCTCATGGATGCCTGAGTATGCTGTGGGGGGTAATTGAGAAAGATCAATCTCACCCTCCTCATCTGAGTTGAAAAACGCATCTGTCCGGTTATTGTTCACGGAGGCCTTTATGTGCTCCGAGAACTCCATGCGCTCCTTAGTTTGGTTAGGAATTGAATCAGTCTTGTCCATAGTAGAATCATTTCCATTTTCTCGTGTACACGGTTTCATTTCTTTTGATTGATCCATGCCTGAAGTGAAGTTTGCCTTGACTGTATTTGTACAAAGGACTCCACCGCCGCCTTCAGTTTCCCATATCTCAGATGTTGGTGAGCCATTGCGATCGGGCGGGTCTCTATTGGGCATGTTTGGTTCGTTTAAAGGCAGTTGCTGTCTCCTTTTTAAACAACAACTTTTAACAGCATTGTATGAAGTCCTGTTTGAGACAAAATGAGCCCTACAGAGGAAAGGCGTTATCGCATCTGCCTCATAACGGTCCTGGAGGGAGGTGTGTGTGAATGAAACAGGCGTCTGCTACTGTGCAGAAGAGGCACAGCTCTGCGTGCACTTTTAAGTGCAAACCAGAAGGGTTATAGACTTCGGTGGCGCTATCAACAGATTTGTGAAGAGAGCGCAAGACGGATACAGGCGACTTTATCAAGGAGTTTAGACGTCAGATGACAGATTGTCTATTTGACTAGAAAAGGGGGCTCTAATCGTATTGTGCAACATATGGTGCATGATACTGTGTCAAGCCCTGTAGTCTCTGGAATCACATTTAACTTGGTAGCATTTTATCCCGCATTGAAAAAAGTCTCGGTTTGTCAATCCCGACAAGGGACGTCCTCCCCAGTAGTGGTGAAGATTCATACATATCATTGTCATGTAGCCTTCTCATCAAAAACCTCTGCAATGTTGGTAAGATCTGAGAGTCTGCTCCATGATATGGTCATATTCTCAAATGCAAAGCAGCATATGTAGCAGACCGATATGTCTGTACCTGCACCGTTCTGAATGCGAAAACGGAAATCCTACGTATTTCATAGGCTCGGATCTTGTCTTAATTCACTTGAACACACGACACGTGGGAACAGTGATAGTGCTGACGATAGTCCTGATGTCAGGACTATCGTCAGGACTATCGTCAGCACTATCACTGTATCTGTCAACAGATACACCGCACGACATTACGTTGCAGATTTGAGTATTAAAGAAAGTTTGCTTCCTTTGACATGTTTCCTTTCTATCAGCAAGGGCAATTTCTGGCTTCCAGTAGACGATACGACAGCGTCATCGTCTACTGTGGTAGTGACTGCTGCAAGTGATTAAGTCCCTGCGAAAGATTATCGACCACGTTCAAAGTTTGATGCAAACGATCGACGGCACTCTTTCTTTCTAGTTTCCATGCAGGTGGTGTCGAAGTTGCGATCGCCTTTTCATCTTGGACGCTGTCAAGAGCGAGCAGCATTTCCATGCACGTTTCTGAGATCACTCTCAGTCTTTGTTTCAGAGAGCCCAGATTCCCTGTAGCCATGTTCTTATGGCCCTCTGGTGGTTGTGCAGTCTTTTTTAAATCCTGTAGTTCAGCTTCAACCGAGTCAAGCCTTGAAATAGCGGCTCGCACCCGCTGGCACATCTCTTCAACTTCACTACAGCTGCTATCAGAAGAGTAGGGCCCATTTGCACTATGACCTTCTCTCCTGACTAACAGCATAACTTTCTTGCCACCCTTCAATCCTTGCGATGCGAGGTCGATGTCATTTTCACTTGTAACTTTCTGTCCTTTGATAAGAAGAATTTGGTCTTCTGGTTTTAAGGAGGTAACTTTTTCGATTTCCCTCATCAGCTGCATGCTTGTGGTTTCGAGTTTCACGACGTAGCGCTTTCGACCATGCAATACCGTTATCATCGGTCCTCCAAGTACATCAAGAGCTTTGGAATTGTCCGCCATTGTGTTACGATGGCAGATACAGCATAGCTAATAAACCCTCTCGCCCTTTATAAATGGAAGCGAAAGTGTGTGGCAGGGGGGAGGACAACAGACTAGGCATTGCGAACGCCTGTACTGTATCTGAGTTGACGATACGCGCAATTGAGTCGGGACGCTTCCTCTGTTTGCGAATGTTCGAGAATACTGCGGTAGGCGCTTCGGCTGACCAGGACAGTTGTACACCCATTGTGGTTTGTGGTCCCATTTTACAGTAACTACTCCACACCTTACAGAGTAAGGGTACAGTATCTGCGAGCTGCGGCGCTGCAGGTCACATTCATCAGGATGCCTACGAAAGCAGTCAGTTGAACGAAACCAGCCTCAGAAGACGCTGTTTTATAGTCCTACGTTTGTCATGCTAGTCTCCATTCGCTCACCTCCAAGGACTCTGCCGCCATATCATCCCATACTGAACGCCATGGTGAACCGAAAGTGATGAGGTTCAAATAGGTGCCGATAAGATATCTCAAACGAGTCCAAGAGACGGTTCCGTTGTGTCATTGCCTTCCCTCGTTGTAAGAGAGGTCTATCTCTTACAACGAACGAAGACAATGGCTAGGTGCGGGAAGAGAACGTCCACACCGGGGGCCATCGCAAAAATGAATTCTCTATACGATTTACAAGATACTATTCAATTACAATATTGCTATCCGTTTTCAATTTCGTCGTCAGTGGCGGGACGCGACCCCATAGGGTCCTCATCAGAGTCGGCGTTACCATATTGTAGATCCCGCGCAGACTCAGTTTCTAACTCTTTCTTCAGCTCGTTCATGTGAAGTAAAGGTCTTGGGTTTTCTGCGCTCTCCAGGGACACGGGAAATCGGATTTTCTTGATGCTGACAGGCGCGTGTCCAGGTACCAAAACAGTTCCCATGAAATGCGTCTCTCCATCGCGAACGGATGAGAGAGCTACCTTGGCAGTCACATCAGTAGTGGAAACGAGAATCATGTTTCCAGAGTCGTCGTAACATTCAAGCCTGCCTTCGACGGTGCGGCCATCGGATAGCTCGACTCGTAATCTCTTGTCTAGGAGGGCGCGCACAGCCTCGACGGCAGGCCTTGGACCCTCCATCAAGGTTCACAGTGTTGGTTCGGTGGTTGCGATCAGAAGGACGTATTTGGTACAGTTGGTTTTTCGCTTCACATTTGGGTTTTCAACTCTCTGTGACGACTTGGCTTGAGTTGTTCTGAAAGCCTCGAGCTTGCAGAGTTGTATCCAGCTTTCGCAGCTCATAAAGAAGGTCGAAAATAGCGGTGAGTCCAAAAGAATTGTCACTTACACACGTGCAAAACTATATTGCCACGTGTCACGACGGGCATGCAACGACCCTCGCTGGCGCCCTGCGCCGTTGCGACATTGCATCGTCTCGTCGTCGGCAGGGCTTGTTTGAACACCAGCACGCACAGAGAAACTCATCTGCGCAGGTTGGTGTTTCGCTCACTAAGCAACTGGATTTATCGTGCTCTAGTACTTGACTGAGAATGGTCAAGCAGAGACCAGGTTCCCGAAAGGACATGACAAAGCTCGGGACAGCCTCAAAGAAAGCAGCCAGACGGCAAGCAGCAAAACAAGCCAATGGTTTGGCAAACAGACGGACAATAGTTCACCCAGCCATGCGCGGCGCATGGGACCATCGAAAGAGTCCGGCAAGCAATCTTGCCAGCGTTGGGCTGACTGGTTCGGTCAATAAGATTTCCAAATCGCGCGACAAAATTGGAAGAACTATCGAAATTGCACCAATACCCACGTCAGTTCCACACAACCATGTTCTGCAGAAACTGCAAGACGAAGCTAACAAGCCCGAACGCGAGCCAAATAATGTCGTGCATCCTGGGGAAAGACGTGCCCTTGAGAAGATGGTCAAGAGGTATGGTGATGATTGGGAGAAAATGGCTAGAGATATCAAGCTCAATTACTTGCAATGGACCCCGAGGAAATTACAACGCAAGGTCGAGAGAATGAATGCTATTCTTGAAGAGAAGAGTTAGTTGCGCCGCAATGGGCCCTTTCAAAGTTCGACCACAGTATAGCATCTTCAAAGTGTGTAGAAATTCGATGTATTGTGCAGCGGTGAGCCCATTGAGGCCTCACGACAGCCCAAGGCCAGTCCAGGATGCGAAAATCTCAATGTATTACTGCAGTCTGTGTGAACTTCTACTGATCGTCCTTCCCGAATTTCGCGGCAGAGCCTTCGGCTCCAGCAGGACAGAGAAGGCCAATGTTCAGCCTTCTCTCGATCATTTGTGCCTAAGAAAAGGCTGTCTTCACAAACAGCCAATGCACACTGCACAATATACCGGCTTCGACTGCGGTCCAACGTTTCTGTAATTTAGACTTTGTGAATGTTGCGGGTGGGCTCTTGAAGAAATGATAGCGTTACTCAAAAAGCCGATGATGGGTACAGATCGACCTGAGATTGCTTTATATATCTAGATCCTCGGTAGGCTTGCACAACCCTTCACATCGTCTCCTAGCCAAACTCAGAGCAGATATGGATGCAGACATCCGAGTTCAGCCTACCTCACCCTAATGTGGACGGTCACGTAGTATTACTCTCTCGGCAAGTTTCGATTTTGCCACTCTCTTTAGGGCGACATTCGTTCGCCGCCTGTAACAAATGTTTTCCATTTCTGATTCTTTCGACACAATTGCCGCCATGTGCTTGTAGAAGACCGTGCTGCAGGTTTCAGTTAGGCCGCAAACTTCTGCTCCGGCTTGAACTAGCTCTTTCATTGGCGGATCAGGGTCTACTGTGTTGAAACCTTCTTCGCATAATGTCCAGCTCCCATTGGAGCCGTTTGCCATCAATTCAACAGAGACAATCATCTCGAGTACTGTCGATCTTTTCACTCATCCCTTCGCATCCTTCCAGGATCGAAGCTTGAGGACCTCCGCTCTGGTTATGGCGAGACGGACCCAAGATGAGAGATGAGCAACGAGACCAACCATGATCGCCAGCCATTCAATTTGTAATCCAGACTTCAAGCCCATAGTACAGAAAACAACGACGGCCACCACGTTAATCAAAACTTCGAAAGCGAACGATACGGCAACTTTCCGGTACCAGATATACTCCTTCCCTTCCCCCAGCATTGGCTTGACTACAGCGTAGCTTCCGCCTCTCACAAATGCAATAGACTTACCAAGTGCCTGCCCATAAACACACCTCGTGCCAGCGTTCACATGAGCCAAGCAACGGGAGACGTGCCACCATAAAACCAGTTCTAAGCAATGGGATACTCTCGGATCGTCGAGACCACAGTGATGAGAGCGATTGCCTCGATGTTCCCGTCTCCATGGATAGGAACTGAGTTCTAGCTGATCCACAACCCCGGCAGTGCCCCACAGAGGTCCCCAGCCAAAGTGTTTTCTAGGCTCGATATCTAACCGGGCTTGTTGAGAATCGCACCACTCTGTCGACAAAGCTTTATTCGTTCGGCTTTCGTGTATGTTGTCAGCTGTCCTTGCGCAGAGGCGAACCCAAATTGTAACACAAGCGGTCATCTCATACCGACCGAACCTCCACTTCAAATGACAAACTGAAGCTTGAAGGCTTTGAACTGCTTCAGAATTTCAGACGCCGGTGCACATCTCCAAATCTCTTTCGAAATACCGCCATTTTGTCCTCCGTCATGTTTGAATTGGCCATGGAAACGACGTGAATGTTATCGAACTGAACCATAGGACCTGGAGAGTTGCTTGTAAGTGCAGCTTTCTGTCTGAACTTAGATGCTTAGGCCGCTACCAGCTAGAAAGCTGACTGCTAGCAATAGTCCAGTCAGATTAGACTTGAGACCAAGAAATCGCATTTCTCTGCCTTCATTAGCAGTGAGGAAGTTGTTGAAGAAAATCGGAGAATGTATGTATGTATACTGGAAGCCATGCAGATTGGCAAGATTATTACGGACAGCTTCAAAAATATCGATATCCACGCCTCGTTTCACTCAATTCACGACTGGCGACAGTTACTTCTAGTTTTGCTTTACGCAACACTTATCCGTTACAATTATGAGTATTAGAATTTATATAGCCCCTCTTACTCCCATCCAACAACTAAAGGCTCAAAACGGCGCTTGGACGCCGACGAGACCACAGCTATGCGAAGAGTGTTGCAAAGAAGCGGATACGGGAGGTTCTCGCGTACATCCTCATGCAGAGGCACCGTAGCGCAAACAATAATGCTGCTATTTCCCAGGCTCTCTACAGAGCACTGGAGAAACAGCAACTGCTCTCATCAGAGGGTACCAAATGCATTTTGAAAGCCAACCGTATCTCTCTATCTAAGTTTTCCTTTGTTGTTTCCAAATATTGCCATAAGGAGAGGGAGAGGAAAGAGAAGATGGAGAGGAAAAAGAAGATGGAGAGGAAAAAGAAGAGGGTTTATGTCTTGTGTAGACAAGTTTATGCTGATGAAACAGACTATCTAAATAGCGAGGATGACCACTGTGGTGGCATGACACGATGCGTACGATGGTGTAAGCCTTCAGTTGCCACGTGTGGCTGTTTGTGGTGTAAGAATAGTTTACACCTGCAAGTACGGCGCTGGCGCCGTTGACTGTCTACAAGTGGCGTTCGAGACCCGCTGTTTTGCGACGGCGGGCATGCCTCTCTCTTTCCCAAGAGAGTCCCCAGCAATTCTGGCGGTAGGCACTTTCAAGCGGTCAAAAGAATCGGACCAAACACTCTCGCGAGTGAAGCAACGAACACAACTAGCTCTCCCCCTCACTTTTCCCTTCACCTCTGCATAGCTACTGTTATGGCAGATAATCCATTCGCCACAAGCAGCGCGCTCGTCCGGGAGGTTTTGGTCAAGGCCGCCGAAATTGGTAAGGGGAAGTCACTCGAGGAGGCCGGACTAGATCCGAAATGGCTCCGCTCCTACGGCCTGATCGCGAGGCGCTGCCGGGATGACAAGGACTTTGGGGTCACACCCTACCCTTTTGAGCAAGGGCCCGGCGTTGGGGCGCTCACTGGTGGGTTCTTCGAACATCGTGAGTGGCCCCTGCGTCGCGCCATGGAGAAGCATTCTAGCCTTCGGGCTGTCGCAGAGTACGAAGCCAACTACGTCAACGCGGCGGGATACTGGATGGCTTTCCACGAAGCCGCGTTGGACCTGCGGCAGGAAGCAATCGTGGAGAAGGACGAAGATGCGGCCTTGCAGTGCGACGTGTGGGCGGGTGTGTCCAATCGATATGGAATGCGGGTTGTCGGCCTCCGCGCCGAGTTCTACAAGATGTCAGCTAAAGATCCAACCTACGCCAAGCTCGTGATGCCTACCTTAGAAAGGCGGAACGAGATGGCAGCTGCGGATGACTTGCAGGAGTCTATGAGCAAGTCGGAAACCCACCTGTCGACCCAACTCATGAAGGCAGTAGCCACCCTGAGTGCCAGCAACGCGACGAAGCGTGCTGGTAAAGGTGGCGTTGCTGGGGAGAAGTAGTCCAATTGGTACCCGACGCCCTCTCTGGAGCGAGACGCAGCGGTGCGTCGAGGGATGGCGTCATTTGGGTTGTTCGGAGTTCTTACTCCGCGCGATCCGCTTCGGGATCTTCGACCCCCCCAAGGCTGCGTTTGTGCCCGACGGGGGCTTGGAGCTGGGAGAGATCCCGCAGACCGAGGAGGACAAGGCCTTTGCTGCTGTCGACCTCGCAGAAGGATGCCGCTCTGGCATCTACAAGGAGGTAACACAGGAGCATGCTGCTCGAGCGAGACAGGAAGGAGCAGTTATATCCTCGAGTTTTGTGGTTTGGCAGGACGGGCCGGAAGGGAGGAAGGGCCGGTTTATTGTGAACCTGGCTTTGCAGTCCAAGAAGTGGCCGAAAGGGACCGTCAATATGGACTCCATAGCGCGGTTTGCAATGGATCTTCAGCAGGGCGACCATCTACTGTCCATGGACATCGCAAAGGGGTACCGGCATTTCCGCCTGCACCCTACGATGAGGGATTGGTTCCTATTTCGTTGGGAGGGCCGGTACTATCAGTGTGTGGCATTGCCCTTTGGATGGGGCAGGTCACCACTGTGGTTCACGCAACTAATGCGTCCCTTCTTAGGGGAGCTACGTCAGCGACACGGATTCCGCGTGTTGGGTTATCTCGACGACTTTCTCATCGCGCCATCTCCGTACGGCGTGGTGGCAGGTCGGGCTCACTGTGTGGAGGCCAAAAGGTGCATCGAACGTCTATTATCTTGTCTCGGATTGAAACGGCATCCGACGAAGGGAGAGTGGAAGGGCTCTACAACTGTAGAACATCTGGGGGTGAGGGTAGACACGGAAGCAATGCGATTCTACGTCACTCCGCACAAGGTGAAGAAAGTACAGTCTTTAGCGCGGAAAATGCTGAAGGAAGTTCGGTTAGGGCGTCGTTGGGTTACCAGGAAGGCGATATCACACCTCTGTGGTGTGTGCGTGTCGCTCATGCTCGCTATGCCGTGGGCCAGATTCTATACAAGGTCGCTGTATTGGGACATGGGAAGTGGTCGGCCCAGAGATGCACGAGGCCGAGTGCGCCTCAGCCCCCAGAGCGTGCGAGACCTGCTGAAGTGGCAAACGCTGACGCGGGAGGAGCTGGCCGGGCGCCCCATGGTACCACGGAAGCCAACTACCGCCATTCACTCTGACGCAGCGGACGTCGGTTGGGGTGGTACGCTCAATTCGCAAGACTTGCGTCCTGGTGTATCGGGACAGTGGCAGGCTCAAGGCATCTGGAGTTGGCAAGACCGAGTCGAGATCATCAGCTACAGGGAGCTAAAGGCGATACGCCTCCTATTGACAGGCAGCTTGGGCAAGCGTGTGGTACGAGAAGGACACAAGAATGTTCTCCTGCACGTGGACAGCCAAGCTGTGGTTCATATCACGAACTCCTTTGTCTCGGCCAGTCGCCCGATGATGCGGGAGCTACGTCGATTGAAGGTCGTGTTGGAGCGGCTAGGTGTCCAGATCCGATCCGAATGGATTCCGTCGGTGGCCAATCGGTTTGCAGACGCCCTGTCGCGACGCTTCCCACGCGGCGACTTGCAGATCCGACGGCAGCTGCGGCGTTCCGTTCAGGCTGGAATGCAAGCGCCAACCGATGTGTTTCCGTACCGTCCGGCAGGGGAACACCCAGTCCAGCTCCGGCGGCAAGCGTACGCAGAGCTGGCATCGTCGTGGTCGGAGACAGAGGTCAGGTTCCTATGCCCACCGGTGGATCTTCTTCACGCAACTGTGCACAAGCTGCGGACGACTCAGGCACCCGCAGTGTTGCTGATGCCAGACTGGCCACATCAGCCGTGGCATGCGGCAGCGATGCAGCTGGCATCGCGAGTCGAGGTGCTGGCATGCTCGGCTCAAGAGGTATGGTCGGGACACCGGAACATCAACGAGAAGTGGAAGGTCCTAATGTTGGACGTCAACCTCGAACAAGCGCACGGGCA